GGTTGCTTGTGATTTACACACACACACACACACACACACACACACACACACACACATATTGTGTTATGCATGTAATGGTTTGAGTTCTAAAACTTTTGGCAAAAATACTTACCACCTGACCACAGGATAAAAAATCAGATATTGATATGTTGTTCTTTTAGAAGTTTGCATATTTTAATTGTGTGATAAGATCTATTTCGTGAATTGGGTTTCCGCTTTTCTTCCTATCTCTACATCTCTGTTTTAACAGCCTTCCACTCAGAAATGTATACATTTCTGTATACTGAGTTGCTGGGCAAATGAACAGCGGTATTGCTGGTAAAATAGGAGATGACCTTAAAAAACAAACCACCTGGTAGCACAATGTGTATTGAACAAACCAAAATAGCCTGGCAGAGATCTGAACTCGGTGCCAGATGGAGCCACGGCATTATTGTCAATGCTGTTTATTTTTAACTAATTTTATTGTATTGCTGAGATTTTTTAATGGTTGTTTTTAATTGCTGCTAGCTAGCCTGAGGCTTTTTATAAGCATGTGGTGACATATGCACTGAAGAAATAGACAAATTACATTTCTTTTCCATTAGAATGAGTTTTTCCACGCTGGCGTCTACATTCAATTTAAACAGCATTGGTCTTGTTAGTGGGTAACATTATGCTAATAATAATAATAATAATAATAATAATAATAATAATATCTTCAAAAAGAAAAGAAAATTGGGAATAAAAGAGAAAAGAATCATTTCCTTTGTCGTCCCAGCACCTGAGTCTTACCCCACATGCATCCCAAACTCCATTGTCTTCTTCTTATGTGGATTTTTATTTTTTAGCTCTAGAGAAGCCTCCCTTCAGTTGGGGCAAGGAAAAGAAAGGGAGGGGGAAAGAGGAAAGGCCTCTGTTGTCATAGTAACAGCTTGGTCCAGCTCAGTCTGTGGTTCTGCCTGATGTAAAAGAGACCTGACGCTGCTGTGCAGGCATTTGCCCAAGACAGATTGAACCTGACAGGCTCTTTATGATCTGAAACATTTATAAAGCAGGGGCCATGTGTGTGAGCATGTGTGTGTGTGTGTGTAGAGAGAGAGAGAAGGAAGGGTGAGATGGAAATCAGAGCAGTGGCAACAGACTACTGTTACAGACAGAAAGAGGACAAGAGGACCAGCCAAGGATGTTCAGCACATTCCACCAAAACATATTCTGCACTCAAGCTTCTGGATAAAGGATGGATCCTGCAAACGACTGTGGTTCATAAACCAAGTACTGTGCTTTGAGGCTGTGTTAAGATTCTGTGGTTTTTATCAGCTTATTTGTAGATCTGGCAGTTTCAACTATTATTGTAAGCCACCCAAAGGACTTTTTTGTTCTTGGGCGGCCTAAAGTTGTAAGAAGTCAGTTTGTCAGTGAATAAAAGTGATCTGAAAAGTAAAGATGGGAAGCCTTAATGCACACAGCACATGGGGTTGCCAACTTTTTAAAACTAGCCCTGGTTCTATGCACTTGATCTGTAGACATTAGCAAGTGCTAGTGATTCCTTGCCATGAAAGCTTCAAAAGCTTGTTGCTTATTAAATTGTTGTTAAAGGCACAAGAGGAGCCAGTCGCACAAATCAAAATGATCGAGTGGGAAATATGGGACAAGGTGATCCTGAAAATAAATTGGAGGGAATGGCTTGTTTTAGTTATACATACTAATACACAGATTATGGGAAACAAGCAAGGAGAATTTGAGCTCCTAATAAAGGACAGTATTACTGAAACATGGTGGGAGGTGAACCTGAAGCATTTCCTACTATAAAAAAAGTAAGTAACCCAAAAAGCTTCCCCTATTATTTCAGGCACCCGGAGGAGAAAGCATTTTTTAAAGTGGATGATTTTTGTAGCAACTGGAAGTGAATATGCATGCCTCCATTTGTGGACTACAACCAACATTCTTTTTTCTTCTCATTGGATGTTAGGATGTAGCCAGGGTTGAAGAATCGGACTACTATGCAGTCCAAGGCATATGTCTCGGGAGACAGTCTCATTGGGAATTATTCACAAGCAGTTGCACGTAGAACAAACTGCAGTTTGCTTCTAAAATTCAGCAGCCATTGAAAAATATTTAAAGGTGAGACTTACAGCTTGTGCCTCACTTGCTTTCATCCCCAGACCCTAACTGACTGGGAGCAAGCCATGCTTTCAAGGACAGACCAACATCATCATCATCATTATGTGAAAGAGCCAGGTAAATCAGCATGATAAAGAGGTCCCATTCCTTCACCCCAAATCTTCATTTTGCTAATATCCATCTTATAAGTTAATTCTGGTCTATGTGTGGATTATCATCCTACAGCGCCAAAGCTTGCTGCTAAGTGTGTTTAGCTTTTATGCAGCGTACAAAAGCCCAGCAGGTTCTCTGCAGCTGATACTGCTGCTTTGACTAATAGCCATCTTATAATGGAAAGGTCTGTTAGCCAGGCCCGAATGCTCCCATTAGGTAGGTAGCTAATGTCAAGTCATGAACAACTCCAGATCTAGGAGCACAAGAACATGACAGAGCAAATCAGCATCATGGCTTTAGCTTTCTGAGGCTAATTCTCCCACCCTCTCCTCTAGCCTGCTTCTTTCATATGACACATATTCATCCAATTACTTCTCAGTGCTATGGATCAATGCGTCGAGAATAACTACTACTACCCACCTTCATCACTATTCTGTTCTGTGAGTGAGATTGGTTGGTTAAAGGAGAAGCTAGCCCCTACGTGTTAGGAATCTGAACTTAATGCTTCTGAGAGTTGTCTGTTTATTTATTAACATATATGCAATTTATTATAAAAACACAACCTGAAAAAAAATCATGCATAGAAGAAAATGAAACTCAACCAACACAGAAACAGTCATAGAAAACAAAACTGAAATCAATATTAGCCCCATTTAGGTATTATCCCAAACTGTACAGATTATTTAAAAAAATTCATTTCAGTAGCACCTTAGAGACCAACTAAGTTTGTTATTGGTATGAGCTTTCGTGTGCATGTGTGTGTGTATCAGAAGAAGTGTGCGTGCACACAAAACTCATACCAATAACAAACTTAGTTGGTCTCTAAGGTGCTACTGGAAGGATTTTGTTTGTTTGTTTGTTTGTTTCGACTACAGCAGACCAACACAGCTACCTACCTGTGCAGATTATTATTACTTTGTACCTTTTTACCCTCTTTTTTTGCCCAGCTATTCCATTTGATCCACTGCTAATTAAAGTCATTGGTTGGTTTTTCTTGCTTTTAGCAGAATCATAATCCAGCTCTTTGAGGTTTACTGAGGTCAGAGGGTTGCTTAATAAATATGCAGTTTTTATTAATTAATGGCAAAGGAACTAGATTCTTTTAAAGATGCAGGAAGGTATTCAGCTACAGTGTTTCATGAGCATAAGGATTTCTGCTTGCACAACAGAATTTCTTCCCTTCTCCTCTCCCCATGCATTTGCCTCCCCAGATCTGCTCCAGAGGGTTAGAACATATTTAGGGGAAGCAGAGGGAAAGAACATTTCGTTGCACAAGCAGGAATCCTTGCACTGGTGGAACAATCTCCTTAGATTGTTCTGAATACAACCCACACCTTCTGAGATTCTATATTTATTCAGAGCTTAAACCAGAATATCTTGTCATTAAGAAATACAACCCCCCCCACCTCCAGGTAGTGCTTTATTACTATTGGGTCTGCTATGTAGAACATGGCTGTATACATGGGATGCGCGGCTATTGACTACAGTATCTTTGGCATTGTTCATAGCAAGCAACATTGATCCCACAAGTCCAACATATGTTTGTTTCTTTTCCCCTCCTAATTTTCAATATGACACATTTTTTTCTATGTCCCCTGTGTCTGTGGACTTCTTTGGTGTACTACTGCAGTGCTTTAGCAATCATCAAGTTATGGGAAGGGGAGAAGAGTTTAAAATCAGTATTCTTATTATTCTTTTTCTTCTTCTTCTTTTAATGGTTTTGTTGATTTCTTTTCCCCATTGATGTTTTTGGCAACTCCCATCATCCGCAACTATCCGCTAAACTGGCTGAGGATAATGAGAGTTGTAGTCCAACAACTTACGGGGACCCAAGGTTAAAGAACACGGCATAACATGAAGTACACTAAGTGGGGAAATCTGGATTGTATCCAATGATGATCAGAGTAGACCCCTTGAAGTCAATAGAAATGACAAACTTAGGTTCGTTAATTTCAGTGGTCTACTCTGATTAGAACTTAGTTGGCTACACCCCTCTGGATAGGAGCCAACTCCTAGGGGCCGTGGGGGCTTCAGCCCCGCAATAAAATATTTGAGGGGGCTGGAGCCCCCCAAAGATGATGGTCATTGCCATTCAAATGGTGTGCATACACTGCATCACATGATTGATTATGTGGGGCAGGGCATACCTGGGCCACTGCAATATTTTATTCAAGTTGGTACCCCCACCCCTCTGAACTGATGTTTGAAAGAAAGTCCCATAAACAGGAAAACAGTTCATTCAGGCAGGGCTAGCATCCTTGGGCATACAGGCAGGTATCCTTGAGCACCTTCATAGGGCCCACTGCTGATGCTTACCACATCCCCAAGACCAAAAATCTTGGCCACTGCAAACCGGATCTAGTCACTCTTTTAATTCCCTGCAATACCCTGACCTGCCATTGATCTGGGGTTTTGTGGGAAATTAAAAGGGGTTCTAGACCCAGCTGCACTGAGCTGGTACTAGAGACAGGCATGTCTGTTTACAGAGGAAGGACACACCAAATGACACTTCGCTCAGGGACCCCTCAAACCTAGAGTGAGCCTTGCCCACAGGCCTAGTCATCATCTTTCAGGACTGTACCACATCGACTGAAAAGGGGGGTTCACATGATGGAATGCTGTTCCATACCAAAAAGTAAAATACAGGTGACCCTCAACTTTCATGGAACAAACACTGGAGTTGACACATTCCCATCAAATGAATGGACTCATTATCCCAAAGAAAGGCGAGAATTCTTCCCTACCTATATTAGGATGCTTCAGGAGACGGCAGATCCGAGCCTCTCGTTCCAGTTTCTGATGATCTGTAGGGAAAGATGCCAACAAATCAGTGTGTCTGAAAGAGCAGCATGCATGCTATCCTCAGCTGATTGTAGGCTAGCCATTAGCTCTCCATATTATTCCTCTGGATTTATAGCATGCAAATCCAGGCAGCGATAAGAACTTGGGATAATTTAACAAAAGTTATCTAAATATTCAGCTAAGGGGCAAGTACCTATAGAAGTGTTGAGGCAAACTTTTCCAGCCTCTGTCAGAATTGTCAGCCTTTAACGTCCTTAAGAAATCTAAATCACCCACCCATCCACTTAGTGGCTATTCACCCAAAAGCCCTTCTATGACCAACTTGGAAATGATTATTCTGTATGAAAATAAAATTACTTCCTTGAACTCTAGGAAAAAAATGATATAGGAATGATTTCTTGGCAATATCCACAAGTACCTTGAAACTAAGCTAGAGCTGACAAGTGTTACATTCCACTGTTAAAAATTAATGCTAATTTATAATACGCTTCTGCTTGTGCCACTTCCCCAAGGGACAAGAAGTTCCAGGGACAGTGTCATAGTGCTTACTTCCTTTCAATGAGATTACACCTTTTGTAATATATGTTTATCTGCAACACAAAAAAAATGCAAGTAAGCAGTCAGGACAATGAGAATTGATAGTCATCAAAAAACAAATTATCCTCTGATTCTGCAGGTAGCTGTAACCCCTGGCACCTCACGGAATTGTACAGCCGGATGGGGCCCACAGAGTCACCTAGTCCAACCCCCTAAAAAGCAGAAATCACAACCTCAAAGGTAAAGGGTAAACAACCTCAAAGGCACGTCTTTAAAACACAAGTCAAACCAGTACTGGCTACTTTCAACTCATTCAGGATCAAGCCACACAAAACTCTGGAGTTATTTTGCATTATAGCAGGCATCAATAGCAACAAGATTTTTAACAAAGGAGGGTGAGTGAGTGGAAATACCCACTGCACAACTTCATTTGCAGATAGTGGGAGTGGGGAAACCTTTTCTTTTGGCATTTGCATTTAAAAATAATGGTCTCTTGGCAAAGACTGATTTTACAAATGTGAGTTCTTCCCTAGGAAGCTCACTGACTGCTGGTTGAATATAGCGTCCTACAAACAAACAGCCTAAATGTCTAGCTCAGTTTTGTTCTGATGTAGCAGCCATGTGCCTCTCTATATCCCCACCTCCCATTTTCCTTGCTCACCTTCCTAGTACAAAGCACCACTTGTCCCCTTTCTCTCAGCCTCTTTCTTGAGATAAACACACACAATTAGGTTTGTGTTGAAGTAAGATATGAGGAATCCAGCAGTGTGAACTTTCTGCTGCCTGTTCCCCATTGTGTTGCAAATGTGCCTCGGAGCTTGGGGACAACAGTCTCACACTCCGCCAGAGGTGCCAAACATCAAAAGCTTAACAAGCTCCAGCAGACCATGAATGGCTATGTATGTGCGAGCACAGCACTGATCTTTCACTGCTGTTTTCTTTTAGCCTGCCTATCCCAACAGGCATATGGCAATAAGAAAAGCAAGCTTAATTCTTCCTTGGTGTTCTTTTGCCTCGTGGCAGCTTCTGAATTGTCAGATTCCCTCCCCACAGAGGGGCATCTAGCGTACCTGTTGTGTACATTCCCCTGTACTCTGAACACACACACAGGCCTCTGGCCTCTGACAATTCATATATTTTTGTAGGACGGACCTCTTCTGTTTTTGTTTAACCTACACTGTGCTGCTTTTGTTTGGAATTACTTCCTTTGTTTTAAATAATACATACCCTCCAACATTTCTCTGATGAAAATAAGGGTGTCCCATTCCATCATCACCCTCATTTTATTATTTACACCCCACCCATCTGACTGGGTTGCCCCAGCTACTCTGGCCTGCTTTCAACGTATATAAAAACATACTAGAAATTAAACATTAAAAAACTTCCCTATACAGGGCTGCCTTCAGATGTCTTGTAATCAGCATTCAAAACTCCCATTGTTCTAGGCGCATTTTGCTACAGGGAATTTCATAAATGCAAGCAGTTTCTGAGCTCTGGGCGCAGTACTGCACCTAAGATTTCAGATTAAAATTGCCACTGTTACTAGGAAGTAAATCCCAACCAAGTTCAATGGGCCTTCCTCCCAAGTAAAACGTGCATGGATTGGGGACCTGTAAACTTTATTTTATTTTATTTTCAACCCAACATATTTTGTTTAGGTGTTAGATGTCTTGTTAAATGTTCTTTTAATGTATGATGTGCTTTGAATTTGAAATATACTAGTCAGTTAGTTATGATGGTTTAAGCAGCACATGTTAAAGTGTTATCTACCTCAGACTCTCACAGTGATGCTTAAAATCAAAACAAACTTTGGAGTGGGATCACTGAACAACCCTTAAGTCTTAAGTTTGTGAACTGGACACTCAAGGTGCATGTCTCTGCCATCAGTTGTATAGGCCTTTAATATGTGTTAATTGTGGTGCCAAAAAGATATATTTATATGAAGGTAAGGAGGTGGAGGGAGAATCCAGGGCTTGTCCACAGAGTGGAAGGAAAGGAGGACCTTTTTCTGCCTCCCCAATTCCAGCCACTCTCTGAAGACTGCAGAAGGGACCCTCTTAAGAATATTAGAGGGGTGGGCAGGGAAAAGACTAGACCACGTGAAAAACAAGCATAAGATTTGAGCTGCAGTTCATTCATTTTCAGCTTTGTATTCTTGTTATTAAAAAAGTGCACCTAGACATTCCATTGTCGTGCCCATATCCTAGGTTTAAGGTGCCATTTAGCTCCTTGCTTTCATATCTCCGTTTCTAACACTGCTTCTAATAGCTGTGTAGTTACTTATCTCCTTGGCTTGGGGGTCACATAACTCAATAAATCCCAACATTTCTACAATGAAACTAGGGACATTCCTAAGGAAAAGCAGGACATCAAACCAGAAATTGGGACATCTTCTGTAAATCCAGGACTGTCCCTGGAAAATAGGGACACTTGGTAGGGTCTAATCATATGGTATTGTTAAAACCTGCCCTGTGGCCTTATGAGTGAAGGGTGGGTAAGAAATCTTATACAGTGGTACCTCTAGTTACAAACTTAATTCGTTCTGGAGGTCCGTTCTTAACCTGAAACTGTTCTTAACTAGAGGAGTGCTTTTGCTAATGGGGGCTCTTGCTGCCGCTGCGCCGCTGGCACATGATTTCCGTTCTCATCCTGGGGCAAAGTTCTCAACTTGAGGTAACTCTTCCAGGTTAGCAGAGTTTGTAACCTGAAGCGTTTGGAACCTGAGGCGTTTGTAACTCGAGGTACCAATGTAAATAAATCCACAAAACCGCCACACTCTTGAGTATGCAGGAATCACTGTGCTTGCACAAACACATCTGAAAGAACATGAAGTTGTAGAACTTCACCGTTTTGCCTATGCTCACCCTCGCGACACACCTCAGGAGCAAAAACATATTGGCCTCACATCAGTAGTAAAAAGGATTGTGAGCAATCACCTTTCTGGCGGGAACTTGATGTTCCACAGAATTTGCTCCTTGAGCTTTGTGGCAGTCCCAGATTTGTCTGTCATAGGGCCCTCCCTACAAGGCACCGGTGCTTCTACCTTCCTCAGGAACAGTTTCCATTTATGACTATAGAAAGTTGCTTTATACTGCAGAAAACCTAATTGTTGGTTGTCCTGGTTCTGTAGTAAACAGCAGGTTTTCCCAGAGAAAGCGGCAGGACAACAATAACAGCCTCTTGGACCTATGACTTGAAATCACTTGAAATCAAGGGGCAAATGGGAGTGTGGATGGGCCCTAAGTTTCAATAGGGGATGAGGTCTAAGGGATTGAGCCAAAGGCTTGTTCTGAATCAAGAGAGAAGAGAGTTGTTCTGGAGGACATTCCCTGCATAAGGGGAAAAGAGCAGAACTGAACAAGTTTGGATGATAAAGTAAAGGTAAAGGGACCCCTGACCATTAGGTCCAGTCGTGGCCGACTCTGGAGTTGCGGCACTCATCTCGCTTTATTGGCCAAGGGAGCTGGCGTACAGCTACGGGTCATGTGGCCAGCATGACTAAGCCGCTTCTGGCGAATCAGAGCAGCGCATGGAAACGCCGTTTACCTTCCCGCCAGAGCGGTACCTATTTATCTACTTGCACTTTGACGTGCTTTCGAACTGCTAGGTTGGCAGGAGCAGGGACCGAGCAATGGGAGCTCACCCCATCGCGGGGATTTGAACCGCCGACCTTCTGATCAGCAAGTCCTAGGCTCTGTGCTTTAACCCACCTTTAATTGGAGGTGCTGAAGCTTGAACCTTGAACTTTTATGGATGCAGATCATAAGCCCTACCACAAAGCTGTGGCTTTTACCGACAAGGCTCACCCTCTGCAGCTGCGTAAGTAGGAAGGCGTTGTGAAAATGAAAAACAGCAGGATATAAAATGTGGTTCTTCACACAGAATTGACTTCGATCCTCTCCCTGGCACTGGCAATGATACTCCTAATTTGATTAAAGATTATATATCAGCCATGGGATCTCAGCACCAGCGTGAACCTTGCATTCTCAACAAAAAAAAGTGTTAAAAGAGTTGCGCACAGATTCTCAGATATCTTCAACACTCTTGAGCCTTGTTAGCTGAACTAGCAATGGTTGTTTTCTAGAACATTGAAATATAGAATCGTGTATTTGTTTCTCTCCATTTTACAGTGTAGTGCTTTGTGCCCATCGCTCTACATTTTATTGGCTTCTTAGTACATAGAATGAATATCCTGGGAGCAGAGTGCTCCCCTTGCTAGCATTTATGAAAGTGTTTTATTGCACCAGGCACCAACAACTGAAGCAAGTGTTTCATCATCATTATTGGAACACAGCACAGCTCAGCCATTGCATTTAGCGGCTATTGAGAATGGAGCAGACCTTTTGCACTGGCCTCCCTGGCCACAGAGGGATTCCAGGATGCTGTAGCTTCTGGTACTTTGAATGCAAGAAGGATTCCGCAGGCTAATGTCACTGAGTCTGACAGGCAGCTCTTCCTAATACAA